AAACCCATTACTCCTTGTCCTGTCACTACAGGCCCTTGTAAAAAGTCCCCCCCAGCTTCCTTGTAGCCCCTTCAGGTACTGGAAGGTGCTATAAGGTCTCCCCGGAGCCTTCTCTTCTCCAGGCTGAACAAGCCCAACTCTCTCAGCCTGTCCCCATAGCAGAGGTGCTCCAGCCCTCTGAGCATCTCTGTGGCCCCCTCTGGACTCGCTCCAACCAGTGAGCTTTCACCCACTCACGTGCAACATGGGAGCTTGTGTTTGTTTTTAGCTCTTCAGAGATAGCTTCCCCCCCACCCCTTTAAAGTGTATTTAAAAAAAAAATCTGTTTAATTCAAAAATTAGTCTAGCCTCATTTAGTCTGGCGTCGAGCACACTACTTTTCTCTCGTCTCTTCACAAATGGCACTAGTTCAGCAATGCCATGTCAGCAATAAATGTATTGTTTTCCCCCAGCTACCGAAGCCATGTTTTTCCCTAGACACGAGGACTCCAGCACGGGTCTTTGTAACAACCTCCCTTCCACAGAGGCAATGAGCTCACCCGGTTAGAACACGGCATGTTTATAAATACGCTTCCAAAGTCCAACGTGTTGCGTGGTTGGGGAGAGAGCCCCCCAGCAGTCACAACGCTCTTCATTTTCCCTATACAACCGGGGGGACACCTGCATGCCGGCAGCACATCTAAAGCCCCGGCGAACCACACCAAGCGAACGCGCAGCCGCAGGAAGAAGGCGGCCTGTCTTCAGCAAGGCTGTTGGCAGTGCCTGACGAGAGCCTGCGCGTCACCCCGGGTAGCGGCGGGGAGACCGAGCGATGACAGCGTTAGGACAAGAACTACCACCGACTGCCAAGGGAGACTGTGCCGGGATGTAACAGGGTGGGGGGGGGCGGGAAAATCACTTCTGCACAGTCCGAGAGCCTGGATTAAACTCTGATTCGCTAGGGATTCTTCGAAGGCGAAGTAACATCGTGTCTTGGTTAAATAAGCTGCGCGTGCTGAAGGCAGAGCTGCAGTGCACCAGCCACAAGGCTGCTCGATTTTACTGGCCTGCACATTAATTTACACTTTTAAGGGGCTTCACGTTGATTTATTAATTCCAAAGGGATGCAAAGATGAATGCGCTAACGTTGCACCTTATTAACAACTGGGAGGTTTGTTTTGTTTTCCAGCTGGATGAGAGGAATGTTCAACGCCAAAAATCCTGCTTATAGCAACTACAGCTTGTCAGAAGTTTATGTGCTTATTTAAAACCACAAACTAACTGCAAAGCCAGCATCTCCTCTCTTCCTCAAGTTTATTAAGAATTCAGCAAATCCCACAGAGCCAGAGCATTCAATCTTTTTGCCCCACAAAGCCACTCGCTCATCTGCTTTGAGACAGAGCACAGAAAGACCGGGTTTGACCCCAGATTCCTATGGAAAGCACCAGTAGCCCCGAACACACAGGGGTGCGACACACCAGGCATTAAGACTGAAGCATTTCATTTCTTCCACTGCTAAATATTTCACCAACTACTGTCCCCGTTTGACATGCTCAAACGCAAGCTCCTTAGTCCTTGAACAAATACACTTGGATATGATGTGTTCTTATTTGCATGGGCTGCTCTGGCAGGCAAAACAGCATGCACAAGAAATTCGGTATAGAATCATAGAATGGTTTGGGCTGGAAGGGACCTTAAAGCCCATCTAGTTCCAACCCCCCTGCCATGGGCAGGGACACCTTCCACT